ACGTGGACACACAGTTGCACACAGAACGACATGCAATACAGAATAATGGGCTCACTTAAACACTTGGGCAAATCTAACTAGGAAAAGTGAGGGATCGGGTTTGAGGTAGATGTCCGTCAGTAAGTTGTGAACAGTCTGGCGCAAGGTGAAAATCAGAAGAGAAAAGATGGGACGTGCTGTCAGAAGCTGATGAATAGTTATTTATGACGCTTTGAGAAGATGGCATCCACTCTAAAGCTCGTGGCGGCTCTACGTAAGAATTTGGATGTCTTGTAGGACTGAAAATGCGAGAAACACTCCCGGGACCTTGAACAGAAGCGGCGTCGTAAATGCTCATTTCAATAGGTGTTGGTGACTACAAAAAATCAAGGAGTAATCGATTAACTACTTAATCAATACAAGTAGAAACTTATATGAAAATACAAACCATGATTTCAGGGGTTCTTGGGGAATATCTGGGACGGTTGGGATGGCTATAATTGCAAAGATTTAGTTTAACAAAGATTAAATTGAATCATAAAAAAACAAATTGATTCCACTTACAACTTTCTTTTTACAAAAAGGCAGAGAACTAAAAGCATTAGGAGAGTCAAAAGAGCCCCGAGAGTAGAAAATAATACGAGACGCCCAAGAAAACTATCACAGCCTAATTCACAAAAGAACAAAAATGTAAGCTTTTTGCTACTTAAAGTTGGCAAGTAACAAGTCTTTAAAAGCCTACCAGTAGTGCAACCATCTTTAATAGATTTCGTTTCTTCCGATAAATTCTCGATATATTCACATCTTGGTCCATAGTATTGGGAGATACAGCTGCAAAATAATGAGAAGTGCTTTTAATTTTTTGCATCGAATTTTGCACGCTATTTCAAATGAATTAAAAATTTAAGTAGCAAACATCATGCACAAGTTAGCAAACTCAAACGGCAATCCTTTATTAGCGAAAAATCCGCAAAACATTCAGTATTAGTTACCTCACAACGTTGACCAACATATCCACGCCTGCATCTAAACGAAAACTCTATCCTTTATACTACTGAATAATTTTAATTTTGTCTGCCTCTGAGTTAATATCATTGTTGAAAGCCAAAAAATTTGGTATTGATGACTCGATGATTTAACTAAATACGAACAATTGCAATAATTTACGCCTTCATTTGCAAACTTTTTAAATTGATATTATTACAAATTGGTACTACTATTCAAATGAAATGTCTATTTGAGAATTTCATTCATTATGCGCTATGAAAGCTGTGTAAGCTTTGCTTAGTCAATTGCGCTAATTTGAACAGTTCAGTGGTGTAAATTCCCCTTAAGAACTTTCTAATTTGTAAACTCAATTATCGAGTTCATGGATTTGCTTAATTTCCACTTAATTGATGGTAATCTTCAAGAACGGTCTGCAATGCAATAAGCGCACAGACTTATAGACATCTATTTATGCCCGCCTTAGGACTCGAATTAACCATAGTAAACTAGTTAATGAAATTGCCTCATGTTCAGCATAGTTTGGGGAGTCAGGGATCTAACGATTGTGTGAAATTTCATATTTGTTCTATTGGCATAGAAAGTTTGGCAAGTGAAATTGGAATAGTAACTTGCCTGCAAGATGGTCTTCCATCTACGAGATTGCAGTAGCCATGGAAACAGTAGCGAAAGCAGGGATGGACTACAGAAAATTAGAAAGATATTTTTTTAAAAAAGACAATGAAACAATCGAGAAATAATGGTGACTAAAAGCTCATTTGTATTAAAATTTGCATGAACAAAGCGATACGAATTTTCTGCATGCCTGATCATTGGATGATACGATTTATTGTAATAAATCACTCACTTTCGGTAAGGCTATAGTGCGTTTATATTGTTTTTCAATTAAAATTTTATATTAAAATTTGCATAACAATGAGAAACTCCAGATCAGATGATAGCAATGTTAGATGTGTTAAAATTAAAACATGAAATCGATTATCACATTTGAATTATCCACAGTCATATGAAAATTACTTTCAATGGATAAAAATTAAAATTAGAAATCAATAAATCATAGATTCGATGAAAGTGATAAACTGACTAAAACTCGATAAGTGAGTCACAATGGTAGTTGATGCAACTGATAATAGAATAAAAGAACCACAAATTTAAAACTTGCATAAAGGCGGTTGTATGGTAAAATCTAAGTAGCCTTGTATTTTGTCGCTAATCAAGTGTTCGCTTTGAAAAAAATATGCAATCAGCTTATCAGAAGTGATGTATCTTCAAAATATTTGTTAAAGAGAGCGAAAATTTACCCTTTTCAATAACGTGCAGATTATAACAGGCTGATGAGTCTTGTCTATCATGGACAGTGGAAAGTGAAGTTGCATTTTTTATATGTAAATCAAGATCTTCAATGCTACATTTCTCTTCATAAAAATTGCACTTTCTCCCGAATACTATGTAATTCAGGTGGAGTGTGCGACAGACTTACCCCCACTTGGTGCTCTCTGGGCGACGTATACTTATACGGCAAAAAAAAGTCTTTTAACTGGCAGTGGACTTCTGACTTCAAACTACCATCACCCCACTCTATGTCATATTCGACTACTTCCACAGTACTCACCTAACCTTTTTTCTACCCTTGTGCCTGTCTCTTTTACATCTTTGAAATACTCTTCTGTTCCTCTCCCCCCCCCCTCGACTTTTTTCACTTCGATGTTCCTCCCAACCCCCCCATCTGGGAAGCCCAAAGTCAGCTAATTGACTAATGATAACTATCAAAACGCCTACCATTGGATATAGATAATTGTAACTTAAGTAGTGCTTATCGTCATATCTCAACATTACTGCTGTTAGGTCAGAACTGTACTTCACTGAATATCAAGTGGAACCACTTAGCTTACTGAGCCCTTGAGAAAAAATAGCGTGCTTAGGAAATTGTTCTTTGTAAACTCGCACTTGACAGAATTTGGTGGACTAATCATGAACATGCTAATTTGTAATATGAATTTATTGCGAATTTTCGTCAACCTGGTTCTAAAAAGGGAATTTAGTTAACTAATAGACATAATACTAAATTAGAGTCAATTTTATTAGTATACTATAATATTTGTAAATAATATAACTATATAATTTGTTGTGTATATATATATATGTTTATTTATTTATCACTACATAGCCCAACAATATATAATTAGTGCCACTAAGTCTCTTTTTAACTAAATATTCTGTAATAAATGTGTTTACATTAGCAGAACATCAAAAGTGAATGAATAAATTGTAGCTTGTTAGATTGTCCGGGGTGCCTGCTAAACGGTAGGCTTAAATGTGGCATGGCACCATATGAACAACTTGTATGGCATAGTATTTAATGAGCTTACCTGTTACAGGAGGCATTGTTGTCAAGGGTATTGGCGTTGTAGGCTGTTGTGGAATAACTAAAACATAATTAATAATACTATTACCTACCGCTAAAATGCATTAAAAAGGGCAACATTTTACTCATGAAATTCAATTACAGCAGCTGAAATTAAATGAATTTATTGACAATAATTACGGACGCACATTAAACTTATCACAATTTTCGATCAAGTAAAATATATATTTTACTAAAAAATAGAAATAATAATTAATTTTGATTTAACACAGATAAAAGTTACAGTTTTCTGGTTTAAAAAAAATTCTTAAACATTTTTTCATTTTATCGATTGCTTAAAATCAGTAAACGGAAGGAAGTTTTCTTAGAAGGCTGTATTTTTTATAAATTTCACACAATTAAAAAAAACAAATTTACCTCAGTTACGAAAATGCGATATTTAAATTTACAAAAACGTAAGTACATTTTTTTGCAAAAATTTAAGCGGGAAATAATTTTAAATAGTGAAAACACTTTTACACTTGTGGATATTGTAGACATAGGCTAGAGATGTGTGTGTGGCTACCATTAACCATTTATTTCCTAAAGTCGACTGTGCGCCATTTTGATAAACATTTCTACGATACCACGAAATTTTAATTGAAGAACTTTAGCATTTGAAGCATTAATTCAAGAAAATAAAAAAACAGCCTCTAAAATATGATTGCATATACATACATATGCATACATATATTTGTTTATTTATTTATTATGCATTCACAAAAAAATGGCGTTAACGTTTACTGTATTAAAATTACAAACGAATGAATTGGCAGCGCGTTTACAGAGACTGGGGGGGGGGTTTAGATTTAGTTAAAGGGAGGGCGCATTTCAGCTTAAATGAGAGAAAATGGAGGAGAGGTGGGAGGGGATACGCATGCTGAACACGGACTTACCATATATCTCCACTGTCTTTTTAATATAGCCGTTGACATTTTCCGCCAAGCAAGAGTAATTCCCCGAGTCAGCCGGCTGCATATTGGAAATGTGAAGACGCGATTTTCGTCTAGAATGCATAAAAAACATGCCCACCATAATGCAACATCAAATAGGTAAGGTTCTGATTCAGTTACGTGAAAAAAGTTTGAAATATTCCACTTGCCCCCCCCCCCCGCATAACCCCCACACCCCGTCCGGCGTCACAGTTAATCGTTCTGAACTAGCGCTTTTTTGTAAAAATATCCATGCTATCTTCTTATTTGTTAACTCTAATAGAATTTAGATAATTATTTGAAATTGATAAAGCAACCAAGCTATTAAGTGTCATTCGCGTGACATGCTCTCTTGGGATCACAATCTCCCCCTCTTTTTATTGCTCAATTTTTTTAATCAAATAAGCTGTAATTGGCACTCTATGATACTAAACAATAGAATCAATACATGTTCTTTCAAAATAAATTAGTTGAGGGTGTTATTTACGGCGTTTAAAAATGCTACACACTTATATTATATCAATTAACCCAACAATCAAGTAGATGGAACACGTTAAAATAGGCCTGTCTTTTATAAGCGTGAAAACAGTCAAATTCAGGAGTAAATGGAAAAGAAATTCTGATTTACATTTTATACTTTAAAATGGCAATCTCTACCTCAATTTAAAATATTTTACTTCAATTTGCTCTTTAATGAGAGATAAAATGTTGTGCTTGAAATAATTGTGGAATACACAATGCTAACAAGACTGAACAGAGAAATTCTACGCGCACTCAAGTAGTCTGAAAGGTGAACTGTGCTAAAGCTAGCGTAGGGAGCAAATGAGACTATGAGTGCAAAGACCTTTGAATAATTTGTCAATCAACTTGTGGAAGTATTCCGTAGCCAGAATAAACACCCTGTTTGCTGGATGATATCGAGGTAGTTCAACTAATTTCGAGAGACATTAAATAATTTTGGATTTTGCCCGAGGGAATTATTGAGGTTTAGTCGAGGTACATTTTTTAATTCGTTACATAATTATTTAAAATTTTGTGAGTGTACGATGGACTAGCCTCCACGTGGTGCACCCTGGGCAACGTTTTCTCATGAAGAAATAAGTCTATAAACCAACAGTTGCCTTCTAATTTCAAACTACCATGACCCGAGAGTATGTCATATTCGACGACAACCACTATACTTACCTTTCCTTTTTCTCGACCTTCGTGCCTGTCTCTTTTGCATCTGTGAAACCCTTTTTCTGTTTCCTCCAACTCAACTTACTCTCACTCTGCTGTATCTCTCCTCTGTGAAGCCCGAAGTTAACTCAATGGTTAATGATAACTATCATATTGCCTGCATTCGATTTAATTAAATTTAAACTTTAATTAATACATTTCCCCCATAAAATTGATAAAAATGAAAGTATTAATAAAATTATTAATTATTTTGGAAAGGTAGTAAGTCAATTACAAGCCACAGTGATATGCATGTTGAAATATTGAGCATGAAGGAATCGAGTAAAATTTCAATTTTTCCCATCAAGATGAGTAGTTACTTTCATTTTTTGATTGCCTTGAGAATGTGAACTGCACGTGAACAGCGTGAATTTTGAATTTCTCAGTCTGACTCCATGTCTCTGGTTGAAATCATGTCATAAGCCTTGCAGAACTTACTGATCAGTTTATCTAAAAATATATTGGCTTTTTCATCTCGATTCGTTTATATTTCTAAACGACCATATGAGCACAGTTTGATAGGATTAAAAATAATGTCTCTTAGATCAGAATTTCACTCAAGATCACTTAATTTTTCTTTTAATTTCAGACATTATTTGTTACTACAAAATTTAAAATAAATAAAAGACATAACTGAAACAAGGTGCCATTTATTATCTGTATTTTCTGTTCAATAAGCTGTGTTATTTGCGCACTTGAACCCGTCTGAATATTCAGGACGATCAAATCAGGTCGACAGAACTACGCCCAATTGAATTATATCTTAAGAGACCTAGGACTAATCAATACTTTCATGACCCATTCAAAGCCAAAATTTGTAACTGTCTGACCTCATTGTATATACTCTATCTTGATTCTTATCACTGTGCTATTTTACGATTTCTCTCTAATGAATTTTGGAGGCGAGTGAATTATAATGATTATTAAAGATCACAAAATATTCGGCTTTAATAAAATTTGGACTTCAAAAGTCATGGGCCATCTATTTGATTTTTATTCAAAATAGCTAAAATCATTTCGATTCACAGTTTTTTTCATCCTGAGAAAGGAGAATGCTAAAATTTAGTCGTCGCTAAAGGTAAAGTGATTGGATAAACCATTAGCTTTTTAAGGTGGGCAAAATTTTAATGAGTAATCATTAATTAACATGCAAGCAATAAAATCGTTAATTCTCCATTCGATTGTTTTCTATATAAGTGGAAATGTGTTGTCATTTTGAGCTAACAATGGAAAGGCATTTTCCTTCTTTTATAGTCAAAAACTTCAGTATCCTTTTTTCCTTAGAAATAAAAGATTTGTCCCCTAAAAAAGCATGTCAGATTTTAAGCGGATAATTCTTCAAGGCTGTTTATATTGATTCAGATCAACTTAGTGTACTTCTAACGCCTTATTTATGGTGGACACTTCTAGAGAGATACTGCAATTGTGAAGATAAATTACCCAAATATTGCGTCTCTGTGTGCCAGATTCGAATACTAATATATTTCATTGCGCATGTATGAAGGATGAATCATTAGTGACATGGTCACTGACTAACATATCTGACAAACCCCCCGAGGTCAAAGAACCCGATCCTAAAAAATCACAAATTATTTCTAAGATAAGACTTTTGCCTGAAATTACGTAAATTGTAAAATAAGTTTTAAAAATGACATCATGTTGAACTAAACGCAATGATTCACATAATATTAAAAAAACAATTATAAAATTCGTTTTTCTAAAAAATAGATTTTAGATATTAAAAAACATCCTGCTTGAAACAAAGTCATTTATTACGGTATAGGTGAAAGTCTATGCCAAAACAATGGGTAGGTGGCTTAATAAATAATCACATTATTGCGACTCAGAGTCTATGTTACTATCTAATAAGTCATTTCTAATAAGGAAATAGTAGTCTATAAAATTACGGAATTCTGAATTTGTATCTAACTTAGCTAGATTGTGTATCAAGGCCGGCAATATTTGAATTATTACCGGAACTACGCGAAAAACCTCTTTATCCTGAAAGTTTTTTATGCACACCGCAAAAGAAATTTCAAATTACGCACAGAACGATGCCGCTTCACACGTGTGACCTTAAGAAGAGACAATCGGGTTGCAAAGTCAATCGACGTTGTAGTAAGTATATTTTGAAAAAAAACAATAAATGGCGATTAAAATATATATATATATATATTTCCCAATATTTTAGCCATTTAAGCTTAATATCTAATTTAAATGAATTTTTGTTTCTCACAGAAGCCCATTATTAATTAAACTGTGAACTGAGTTAATGATGGGTTTGATTTTAATCATTGACTACTTTAGTTATAAAATTTTATTTAAAACGTCAAAAATATAATATTTCTTCAAAGTAACTCAAGTCCACTGGATGTGAAGACGAATCTTTTTCCTCTGTTGCTATTGAATAAAGAATTGGAGAAAAGATTTCTGCTAGCACAGACCTTAAAATGGTCCTGTACTTCAATGTTGAAAGTTTCCAGTCTTGAAAATACGTCTATCCCGCAGATAAGCCTTCTTAAGCAGTGAATGGAGAAACTGGAGAAAAAGATTACGAAATTGCAGATGATTTGTGGGTAGCGTTCGTGATATCGAGGACTCTTGATGCGAAAATATCAAGAACTTATGCTGACCGAACGGAGGTGCGCAATAGACTTACCTCCACGTGGTAAACCCCGGGCAACGTTTATTGATACGGTAAAAAAGTCTATTGATCAGCAGTTGACTTCAGACTTCAAACTACTATGGCCCGACTATTTCTCATATTCGACCCCTTTCACAGTACTCATCTTACCTTTTTTATGCCTTTGTGTCTATCTGTCTCTTTTACATCTGTGAATCACTCTTCTGCTCCCCCTCTCGATTTTTTGTCACTTTGATGTTCCTTCATCTTTCTGTGAAGCCCTGAAGTCAAATGAAGGGCTAATGATAACTATCAAAACGCCTGCCATTTGGTATAAATAAATAAATGCTAACTGAACAAAATTACCCTTTAACCTCCTCTGAAACTTTGGTTCTTAAAATAAACCTTCCGACTCATCTCATTTCAGTAAATATCTTATTGGAAGATGAGGGGCCTTTGTCCAAAGTGCAACTACATTACTAATCGCAATTTATGCAAGAAAATTAATAGATTAATTAATAATAATAATTTACTAATAATAGATTAATGGCATAATGAGGGGGAGGGAGAATGGAATATGCAGCTCTACTTAAATTTTCAAGATAATGAATAATACTGGTGACTAGGATCTTACCGATGAAATTAATAAATCGGCACATGTAGTATTTACTAATTTGCCATAAAGAAAGGAGTCTTATCAAAAATTGGAATTTTGAATTATAAATCAGCTATCAATTACTTGTGAATAAAACCGGTCAGGCAATGGCCATTATATTTTACAAACGCGCAGTTCCAGCCAGCCTTATTGCAGGCACACATTTTGGTTCCATTTTAAATTTTACAAATAATTATCCAATTTTATTACTCTTGATTAGAGTTCGATTTTATTTAATTTAAGGGAGCTCTTCTTCTACTTGAAAAGCCCTTGCATATGTAACAAGGGGAAATCATGACCAATCGTTCAACCCAAACATTTGCTTAACAAGATACCTAGACAGAGGCAATAAATTTGCCATGAATTCTACTAATCAATTTTGAAAATTTAAGTTTCAAACATAATGATATTGGTTCACTTTGATACCCATTCATTGTGATTCTCAAAAGAGTTTTTTGCATTGTCTTAGCAATAGCAATAATCAATATTAATAAAATTTTGTAATTATCAATGACTTTTAATAGGCAAATTTGGTTGTAATTATTACAATTTACAGTACCCTTTGTTGAACAGACCTCTAACTGATTATTGATTGACTCAAGTATTACGAGTTGATTCGTGCTTCCACGAAGTGATGTAGAAATGAAGAAGTAAAATCACGAGGAAATTATGAAACTTAGACAAATGAAATGACCACGAGTGCTTTAAACCAAAGAAAATGGCTTACACATTTTAATTTGCATTAGACAACTTTAAACAGATAGTAGAAGTTAGTGCAGAAAATATGATTGTTTATTTTTTTCTGAAAATTTTAAAATTTAGGCAATTTTTGTGATTTGAAAGGTTTTTGCCTTACCTCTCTTGTCCGAAAAAAAGAAGATTATGAGAAAAATTATGGATTCAAACTGCTGTTGATTCATTTCAATTTAAAATAAAAACTAAATAACAAGGTATTGGGTTTTAAGGTTTGTAAATATTTAATATGGAGCATCGATTGATCTATGAGTTGTAAGCTGTAAGCTGCAATTTCCCAAATAGTGGTTATATCACCCAAAAATTATGGACGTGGTTCAATTGTCCAACAGTTGATATATATATATATATATATATATGATCCTGGACGTATATTCTCCCTCCACAAGCAGATGAAATGAAATAATTTGTGAAATGGACTGACTTTACAACAGGAAAAAATGCCAATTCCACTCTTGATAACAAAAAAATCTCTTGCAGTTGAACTTTCACGAAGGAAGCATTCTCAATAACCTATGACATACAAGTAAAAGCGTGAAAAAATTCTATTGTTTTTAGCTCAAATTATACACAAAATCTTCTACAATTCTCTCAGTACACTATCAGATATCTCTACTCTTCCCATTTACTCCACTACACTATTGAGAGTGTCTAATGATTTAATGGAGTTAACGCCTTAGGCTTAGCGGAAATTACCTCGGATATGAATATAATGTGCTGTGTTATGGATGAGAGGGGAGGGTTGATAAAAGCGATGTAATCTTACTTATTTTTGTGCGTGACACCACGACCCGTAGCGACATTCCACAAGCCGAGTGGTTGGGTGTTATTGACATACCAGGAGATGAGAGGTGCTGGCCTACCGGTAACCACACACGAGAGCACCACTTCATCGCCCTGTTTCACGTGAATATTCTCCTGATGGTGCAGAGGATGCATTTGCAGTGATGAAGCTATAATTTAAAACAATAGGCAGAACATTTGATTAACCACCTGAGAGCTTCTGATGGACTCCGCCGTGCTAAAAGATTTTAACCGGTATCATAAGTGCCATGCACATCTTGATATCCCATTAACAAATTAATTTTATTCAATGGAGAGTGAGTTCTGAATATTTGGAGGTGGGGGCAAACAAACATTCAGGAATAAATGCGACATCTTTTAAAAGTTTCTCCTTGGGATAAAGGAATCAATACAGTGGATTAGATTATCTGAAAATGGAAGATTATCGAACGATGGATTCAAATAAAACAAGGTCACTTTTCTTCCATCACAGCTAAAATTTGATAAATCATGCGGTTTCCCACTGATGACAATATGGGGGGAGGAACTCAGTGTTTATAAAAAATGATTTTGAAATCTGAAAAAAACATGTTCATATATTTTTATTTAATTAATAATGCAAATTCAGTCGAATTTAGGTTTGGTAAATAAGAAAACGTTCGCATTTAGCAATTACAGTTAATTCTTTTCATAGTTATCAAGGTTCTCTGAGAAATAGTCATGAAATTTATATCAATAAAGACAGCATATAAGTTTGAAATCATAAACGCCATTAACAAAAAAATCGTTAGCTTACGTTTTCTTAAGTTTTTTTTATAAATAGTCAGATCTGCGATCCCACTAATTAATGTTTGGAAGCAGAGTGATCACCTACTTGGAGTAGGAATTGACAACACTAGTGAAATTCAATGAGGATGCATGATGTTTTGGAGGTATCATTATCTCTTCTCAATTTCAAGCACATTTTATGGGTTCTTTGTCTTCTATTGAAATTAATAATTTATTCCATTTATAGCTTATAAATGATAGGACCAGTGTTAATACAAATTTAGATTTAGCAATGATATAGGTGAGTTTAAAAAAATGCACTAAAATGATAAACAAAGATTCAAATCACATTATTTTGTTAGGGAAAATTAGAAAATACTAACTATTGCCAAAAAATAAATCAGTTTTAAATTTGTTTAAATTGAAACCATCTGTTATTTCTTTAATATTTAAAGAACAAACAAAGAAGACTAATGCAGCAGTTTGTCTCATGAAGATCGCAATCTTTTTTTACATTACCTCATGAGATACATTTTTCATTTCATTGTAAGGAAGCGATTACTAATTAACGTTACCTTATATGTGAACTCACATTAGAGCTTGACATCAATAAATAAAGTAAAACATGTTGTTTCACCTTTGAAGTGGTTATTTGGGTTAAAATTTTTCCCATTTTTAAATATGAGCAAGTCGATAATAAAACCACTGGAGGAACAAGTCAAAAAATGTCCTTTTGAAGAAAATTAAACAAACTGCTTCTCTATTTTAAGTTAAATCAACGCCAAGGTTAATAAGGCTTGGGACCGTTTGGTGTTTTTCCAAAAATTCAGACATGCTTAAGCAATTTCAAATGCTAATTGAGATTAAAAATAAAAAGACATAATTTAAAATTTTAAAGGGAAATTATTATTGTTTTCAACATTTTCCGATGGATCTTTCACTCTCTCGCTCTTTAGGATTCTAGTATTAAATACATTTGTCAACTCTGACTAAAAGGTATAAAATTTCCTTAATTCAGAACATATTGATCTTAGAATAACAATGTAAACCGTGTTTTCCGAACCCAATAGATCAATTTTGAACTTTTTTTCACTAACAATAAATATATAACAAGGCCGATCGTCTTATAACTATAAATCGAAATCTTAAAGGGACCTATACCACGTTAAAAGTAAATAAAAACGCTAGTTTTCATCTATTCTTAACTTCCGACACAATGATAAGTGTTATAACTGTCAAAAATGTGAGTTTAGATATAATTATCACAAAATGAAAGGTTATTCCAGCATTCCATTGAAGTATCTTTTGCCTAATCCACATTGCATGTAAATAAGCATTTTTTGCTAATTAGTAAATCTAATTACCTATATTCTTTGTTTGCTTGTTTCAATAATAACAGAAATTGCATTATGAAATCCAAAGTTTATCCAATTAATTCGCAACCCACAAACCCTCAATGTGACCTAATTTGGCAAGGAAATGGAGATTTAAATTTCATAAATAGCGGGGAAATATAACAAGGCAGCTTACACTGTATAACAGCAAACTGAGTTATTTTGACCTCCACAGCGTCTGAGTCTGTTGCATTTTCGTTCATTCTCTAGGCTTTTGTTCGGTCACCTTGCTTGGACAAATATGAACGGGAAGTGAAGGAAAGACAAAAAAAGACTAGTAATCTGAAAAGCTCATCTTTACTAATGTCTGACCATTGGATGTTTCAAAAGTCTGAAGTAAGGGAAGGTCAGGAGTTTTGTGTTCTCTCTCCCCCCTCTCTCTCTCTCTCGCCCACTCTCATTACATCTCTTTTTCTTGCCCATCTCCTTTCACCTCTTCTATTCCCTAAGGATGCCCAAAAGCAAATGGCATGACCCTTTTTTGCTCTAATGCGTCGACAAAAGTAGATAGAATGAGCGATTGGTGTTTGGAAAGTTAATTAGTTCCTAGATTTGTGCAAGAGGACTTATATATACCTCAGCTGTCAATAATTGGCCGAATTTGTTGAGATAAATTTCCCTTTGAAGATCGAGTGTACAATAAAATGGCTTACCCCTGGCGTTTCATTGGAGTTTTATTACGAAATACATTAAATTGCCTTTTGCCTTTCCTCATTCATCTTCTAGTTGCATTTTCAAAACGAGGAGAACATTTCGCCTAATTGCAAAGTTAAAACCACGGTACCTATCAGGTGGCAAATCCCGAGAGCAAAGCTTTCTTCTTCTAGCATTTTCGAACACACAGGCGGAATCACATTAAATTTAAGATATTCATTCTGTGTCTATAACAGGTCAATTGCAATCCAAATGTCAATGTCTTCTTAAATCTCTACTTACGAGTTTCATAACAGCATTTCAAGGTTGAAGTTTTACCTCCTGTAAGTCGAAATTTTTATACAGAAGAAGAAAAAGAGTGTTCGATCAAATTATGCTGAAGAAGTGGATGAAATAAGTTAATTGGTTATTCAATTAGTAAACGTCAAAACTAGCCGTACTAGTTTGTAATCATTGTAGGTGGGCGTAACAGAAAGTGATTTTCACACCTTTTAAAATAGAGTTAATCAAAATGAGAATTGTCTTATCAAAACCGCTGATAATGAATCGACATAGAGAAAAGTTGTAAAAATGGAATTCGGAGAAAGATCAGCTGCAATTCTTTATGATATCTACTGAACCAAAGGTTATTTTATTCAAACAAAAAGTGGGCCAAATTTGTAAAAAATATAAAATTATACTTGAAGTTAAACTTGGAACTTCAAATTCTAATTAAAGCACCACATGGACTTCATTTATTTTACTTTGCTCAAAAGGCAAGCTCACACAATGGTAATTTAAAAAAATTTTCAGAGAATAAAAGAAATTCAAAGTTCTCCTTAGTAAATTTTCAATAGACACCAATAATTCAAAGTACAAACTAGCCTTTACTTGGAGATAGCCTGCCAAAAACAGGACTCAAATTTTGAGGAAAAATTTCCCTTATTCTAGCAGTGAAATGTTCTTTATCCTCTAAAAAATTATAATTTTTTCCTATTTCGACTTTTGCTTTATCTCTTAAATGAAATAAAATAAATCCATTAGCAGTTTTTGCAGCATTCAAAAGGGAGATTATTGAAGATTTTCAGTACTAAAACGTGTGTTGAATGTGAGTCACGCCAAAAATGAAATTAAAAAAGGAAATTAAAAAACACATTTTGCTTGACTGATGTTAGTGCTTAACCAATTTCCGATCTTAATGAACGTTCTTAAACTGTTGGCATAATTGATGAAGCAATACCATGCATTCAAATAAAGCATGTTCTGCAGGTTTTTTATTCCCCTGGAAGTAGCCATGTACATTGACCAGTTATCGTGAAAATGAAACAGGAAAATTGTTTGTAGAAGGATCAGTGTGACCGTCTGCGGGTGCGAACTCACTCAAATAAAGCGTTGAAACCGGATCGAGGTTTCGTCAAACTATTTGAGTGAATTAAATGGAGGAGCATTGATTAGAGGTATAAAAGTTTCTTTTTACTTATGAATTTTAAATTATTTATGAAGTGGTAAAGGGAGAGGGGGGAGAAGGGAGGTGTCGGGATTTATTTAAGACAGATGTCTGGTAATGCGATAAGGTAATGACTCATTTAACTCACGTGGGTGCTTCAAAATTGTGCGCATTTTCTTCCAACGTTGGTGGGTATAGACCAGGGGGAGATGTGAGATGCGAAAAAAACCAGCCCAGTTGGGTCGGTCGATGAAGAAAATATACTTCCTGCCAGAGTGTACATTGATCCAACATCGGCCCAAATCTGTCCACTGGGAAAATGGTCCAGTGAGAATGGGAAAGCCCTCGCGCACCGGATAGATCGAGAAGCTAGGTCGTTTTAATACCTGTTCAACAAGGACACTGGCGTTGTAAAGTACACCCGGACCATGCCGATAGGTTGGAGTTGGTTGTCCGATGACAACAAAATCTGCAAGAAGAGCACTCGATTCAACATCATCTCTAAATGCGTGTCTGCATGGACGATTCGGATCAGGAGGAAGGAAAAAGGGAACTGGATGACGCCAAGATTCTGTAATTCCATGGGAGGGAGAGATTTGAATGAGGAAAAGGAGGATAATAAGAGTCCATGAAAGCGGTGGAGGACCTTTGAAAGAAGTCATCACTAAGTAATAATGTGTGAACATGAAGTTAGATATTGACCGGACAAGAGACGAGCCAATCTGTGGAGGCATTATAACTGCTTTACCTTATAATCATTATTATCACCGTCCAAGATTATTCACATGTGGACATAAGGCTAAGTGAATAGTGAGAGAAGTGACGGATATGGGGTTTCAAGCATGTGTGTGTGCTGTGTGTTGGTGCGCGTCTAGTGAGCCGCACAGTGGTTGGACGCAGTGGTTGTAGGATGAACGCATTTGTGTTGGGATTTGCGTGCAGAGATGTGCCTGCTGTATGTGCGGTAAGCTGTGTGCGCGTGGAATTAGACTGAATTGAACTTATTCGAATGTATGAGTGTGTGTGTGGTTGGGAAAAGAGTTCTAATACTCCTCCAGGTGTTTATTACGCTGGTTTAATAGACATTGGAGGAATAATCATCACTCCGGCTAACCCTTTTTCCTCCCATTTGAACACAGATGCAACTTAATCCGAACCCAATCCATAATCCGTAACCATATTTACTCATTAGTAATGGAAAGGATAAGAACTTCATTAATGAAGCTTTCCACTATAGGCGTGAATTACGTTGAAAGTTCTTGCAAAGTAGTATAAGTCAATAGATTTTTGTTAAATTCCAAGAATTGCAAGAAATAAATCTTAAAAGAAAATTTATTTACACTTGATTTTCACTTTTTTACTTGTTGGTTCAACAATTTCGAGTAACCATTTTTTGGTTTGGCAAATAAAACTCTAGGAGGGTATTATGCAAGTTCATCTTGAAAGAATTCTAACTCAATATATGCATAACTGAGTTTTTTATTAAGTTCTGGCCAGTTTCAAGACTGCAATTCTTCGTTTATAATGTCGGAGTGCCCTGGAATTTTAAAGATAGGAGAAATACTATAGATGAGCTGATAATTATTAAATTTAGAGAGTTAAACTATTTCAAATTTTTTTGATAAATATGTAATATAGGAGCTGGGAATAGAAAATAGAATTTCCGCCAATTAAGTTCAGTGCCTCATTTCTAACCTCCTGGAAGACAGAAATGCAGGAAAAAAACTGAGGAACAAACGGAAGAGTAGAGCAGTGGAATCGACTGCAACAACGAGGTTAAGATAATCGAATCAAATCTCGATTGATTTTGTTTGCTCGTAGTACGTTATTAATAAAATAGTTAAAATTCAAAATTTCCTATTCCACTATTTCCAGATTTACAGAGATCAGGATTTATTTCACGGTATTCAGATCTTACAGAGCGTTGGATAAGTCTGGACGTTTGGCTTAGTCATTTCAGTAATTTCATTCTAAATTCATAGTTTCATGATAATAAGCACTAGCAGAACAGCAATTAAATCAAATTCAGTAAAGGGTAAATGATTAGTTGCGGAAAGGATATCAATTTATCAGGACATGTTTACTGCCTCTATTTTTTTACTTTAAGTTATAGAGTATTTAATCGATAGAAAGCTCATTGCCAAGTCTTGACCTCTTGTCTCGTCTCTTGAATTGTTGGACAACATTAAGTCCAGGATTTCTAGTACTCGCAGAATGCTTAGATAATTATAAGCGTCTCTTTTGCCATTTCAGTTCATGCTATTTCTCTGTAAGCCCGGCCTTCAACAAATTAGATGATCTTTGCTAGTCGCACTGACTCGAGTTCGTTCATTATGTTACCTTATTTAGCTAATCGTCACCAAAGAATACCACTTTCATGAAGTGCGTGTTCCATATTCGGTTTCACTTCTTGAAATTGCGTACATGCCGAATTGACATCTTTCCACGGGTCATTCCCACATTCTGCGTGTGTGCCGGTGGGCTTGAAATCCCGTTCAACTTCAGCTAGTCAGTTGATATTTGTCCAAAATGGGCTTCGAAATGAATGACACATTTTTGCTAATGCGCAAATTTTTGGTAGAGAACCAGCAACCACTCACAACAAAACCAATTAAAATTTCATTCACGTGCATTCAGAAAAGGGACGTTGGTAATTTTAACCTTTAAATGAGAATGATTACAACCTCCCACCCCAAACTCCCTCTTATAGGTAGATCTGGCTTCATCCTCCACCAATCTGTATATTACGATAGGGCAAATTTAAATAATAGATATTAAAAGTTCGGGGTGTGAAAGTAGACTTACCTCCACGTGGTGCACCCTGTGCAAGGTACATTTATACGCCAAAAAAGTCTATAAACCGGCAGTTGACTAATGGCTTCAAACTACCGTGACCCGAAAGTGTATCAGATTCGACTACTTCCGCAGTACTCACCTTACCTTTTCTCTGCCTTTATGAATGTCTGTCTCTTTTACATGTGCGAATCACTCTTCTGTTCTCCCTCACGACTTTTCACATTTTGATATTCCTCCCTTCGAGGTGCGCTATAGACTTACCTCCACGTGGTGCACCCTGGGCAACGTAT